AAAAAATAAAATTTCCAATAAATAAAATATAGTTGAAATTTGATTATTAGACGATCATTATAATGAATAGATATTATTAATAATTATAATTTTAACAATAATAATTACATTGTTAAATCGTTCCAGAAAATATATTAGAATATTAATTATAATAGTGACTATTTTTCAGAATGAAACAAGAGTTTCTATGAATTAATTTTATCTTTTAAAAATTATGCCATCTATTTCTTAATCAAAAAAATTACAAAAATTACTTATAAATGATTGAAATTTAATTGTTATTATTGTGAAGATTAATATTTGATTATCAGATCTTCTTAGTAACAGTCATTATTTTGTTAATTTTGTTAATTAATTGAATTTTGAAGTGATTTATAAGCATAAATGATCATAAGAAATATATCAGAAATCTCAATGAATTACCATGTGCAAATTTATGAGTTACTCCTTACTTCTTTCAAGACGAAAAGAATGTTGTTCAAAAAAAACAATATCTTACTTGATGTTGCTACTAATTGACTAGCATCGTTAATCACCTCGATTTCGTTCGTCTTTTTGCCAACGACTTTTTGGTATAAATTTGCTCCTCTCTTTTTCTTTCTTTCGCTCTTTTTTTCTCGTAAAACTTGCACAAATAATTACTTTTGACGAATCCAACAAAACAATGTCATTGAGAATGATTCTTGATTGTGTATTATTTTGTTTGAAAATTCTCACGAAATATAATTTGATATGAGAAGAAAATAAATTGTGGAATAAAAAAAAATTGTATGTAGAAAGGACGATTGAAAGAAGAAAAAAAGAGAAAAAGAAGACAAAGAAAGATTAACGAATATTAAATGGACTCAAGGAGATTGAAATCGCGACTGAAATTATGCGATACATTTTCATCGATGAAAAAATATTAATATAAATATAATTTTATAATCATTATGATAATACTCGCGAGACAAAAAACGAGAATAAGCAAATAAATTACGAGAAAACTTGGAGAATACGTGTCTCCGTTTAACAAAAATTCACGATACAACTTGTAAATCAAAATGCAATCTACAACTATTCGCAATTTAATTACAAATGGATCTTCATAGAATAAACACATCCGTTTTGAGGAGAACTCATAAAAATCGAAATGATGAACATTTATCTCGTCTTTTCGTTTGAACGAAGAATTATTTATGTGAATTTTTTCATGTTCGTTATTTGATAGTTTTTCGAACAAGATAATGTTTTTTTTAAACAAAATTTTGCCGTGATTTATTTATTTTAATGTGATGTATTTTTTCAAGATTGTCATACTAAGTTATATTCTTAACGAACATGAAAAAAGTGATCGAAAAAGTCACTTCAAAAGTCGCAAAAATTTCTTCTTTGTCGTTTCGTTTTTTCTCGAGTAAATATTAAGAGATGAATTTATTTGAAAGTAAAAATCTCGAAAGAGATTCGCGAGAATATTGCTCTTAAATACTTTCAACTCATGAAGAAGTTTTATGAAGAAAATCATTCTAATTTGTAAAACCAAATTCAAAATACATTTGTTCTTCTTTTGTTTTTTTTTTTTTTTAGTTTTAATACGAACAACTACGCAATCTCGCGATTATCAGACTAGACCGCACAGTCGACCGAGATTTTCTTCGGTCCAACACGCTTAATATTATTCTCACTTCATTTTTGCACACGCATACATATACACACTCACACATACAAAACGGTACATGTAATTCCCGTTATCTCCATATATGTACAGAATTATTTACAATGGTATACAGATTAGAGTGTGGATCGATTGCTCGTTCGGCCACGCGGTAGAGGAGATAAGCATTGATTGCACCTCGCCGGTGATAATAATGAACGATTCACGATCGATTGAAGAAGCATAGCGATCGAGCAGTTTCTATTATTAAAAAAAGCATCTTGTCCAACGAATACAATATTTTTATACATAATGTGATAGTTACACAGTATATACCCTGAAGATAAACGAAGGCAGCGCGATGGTTTTTTAAATGTTTTTTCATAGTTATAATTATTTATGTTTTAATTTTCTTCCTAGATGTCATTTTATTATTGCCTCATTTATCATTGTATATTTTTATAAATCGTTGATCATTTTATCAAAAATTTCATCATTAATTTTTATAACAATATTTTTATCTTTTCTGATTGCTATGTTCTTCGATTATTCTCTTATCAATGAATGAACACAATAATGCTTTTCGTAGCAGATATCATTATTAACGAATTTATGATTTTTTATGAGCATTTCTCAAACAAATATAATTTGATACAAATATTTGATATAAATAACTTATTATTATTATAAGAAAATTATTACCAGAAGATGTTCAATTCTTTAATTTTTCATTTCCTCTATTTTACATGATATTTTGTTTCTAACAATCTTTTCCAATTACGATCGATCCTTCTATAATGACAAAAGACCATTTTTCTGTTGTTTTCGAATTATCTCATGACCATGAATGATTATTTCCGTAAATTCTCCTCTCAATTTTTTATATTTTTGTATCTAAATATCTTGTTTCTCTGACATCATGAGAGATTCCTGGAACACACATCTTTTGCCTCATTCAACATCTGCGTTGTTTTTCGTCTGTCATTCGTTTAAAAGATGAAATTGAAAAGGACAAAGGAAATACTTGGTTTAGGATTCTTTGGTTTTTTCGCGCCTTGAAAAAGTCGATACGCGAGAAAATAAGCTGAAGAATCTCTCGTCTCTTATGCTTGCAATCCCCTTCCCCTAAATGGATAGATTTTTCTCGTTCTTGTTTCTTTCTTTTTCCGCTCTTTTTCATTTTTTTATATTATCCGACGGAATGCGCGTTTCGTGGTTATCGCTTAAATACTTAAATGACATATGAGTTCCGAAAATGGAACAGAGGTATTTCGAATCTTTGGTTTTTTATTGAGAAAATAAAAAAATGATAGCGTTCGAGGGGAAAGGATCAACAATCGATTAATATTTTATTTTTGTCCTCTTTTTTAATTGATTTGCTTGCTTTTATTTTGAAATTTTTTTTAGAAAATGCGTAAAAATTATATGATACATGGAATTAACGAATAATTTTAATTAATTTTAATTAATTTTTCTTTGTCGTGTTTTTTTAAACATTTTTTTAATTCTTTGGAGTTAATTTTATATGTTTACGAAGGATCATCTGGGATTGTTTTTGCTCTTTTTTTCTGCTCTTTTTCTTCGCTTCTTGTTTGTTTCTCCTCTCATAGTAATTACAATTATTATATTCAACAAGTTTATTTTTCTATGACTGAAAGAGTATTACGTGTCATGGTTCTTGGAACATTTGTCTTTCTTTTATTCTTTCAGTTTGTACTGATAATTAAATATGATCAAAGTAGCTAAAATATTAATTCCTCGACTTTCTTTGAATTTTAATATTAGTTTTAAAAATTTTATATGTACGCCAGTAATTAGAAAATTATTTTCTCTTTGTTTCTGTATTACTGTATTCCTTATGAAAAACTTTTTCTTTTTAATCTTTGTTGCGTTCTCCATACATTCACTTTATTATACAGTTTATTTGAAAAATCTTTCGACATCATATCTCACTAACATATTTTTTTTCATTTAACCTAATCACTTATCTATTTTCTAAACTCTTTTTAAATCTTCTGAGAACAATAATAATTGTTCTCTTTCACGTTTCAAACTCACAAAAACAAATTTTTCCGTTTATTTTTAGTTCACTTCGATTCATAAATTATTTCAATTCATCTTACACACCACGACAAAAATGTTTTTTCATCGTCTCTTTTTATTTCACCATTACAGAACCGAGATTTTTTTCACTCTTCTTTTTTTTTTTTTTCAAGACCTCTTTAATAATTTAAAATTTATTCCTATGAATCTTCGCTGATATTTATTTCGATTATTTCTTCAATTATTCTTCAATTATTCATTTTCTGTCTAGTCCTCTGTTTTCTTTTTTTTTTTTTTCTTTAATTTCTTCTTTATTAGAATTCGATATTAGTCAGCTTCGCGTTACGAATTTCGCGGTTGTCCATACGCGAAGCTGATCTCGCGTCATGGATAGTCTGGATGCATGAGATTGTACATAATTGCAAAGATTGTGCAGGCTGCGTAGACACCAAGCGCCACCCACCAAAGAAGTTGCTCGTGGAGACGTTGTTCGAAATTTTTCAGCACCAGCAAGCCGATTGTGAGACCTGCTAATGCACCAGTCAGATGTGCCACATATGAAACAGGGGGACCCATTTGCTCAGCCGCATATCTATCATAAATCGCGAATCCCACGTCGGCACTTGCTAAAAATAGAAATCATTTTTTTATTAAATTTGTTTATTAAATGTTATGATATATGATATATTTTTAAGTTATTCTTAAGTTATAATTGAATATATCATTATTTAAATTATATAACATTTATAATATATGTATATTAAATTATAGTGTTATTAATTATTTGATATGTGAAAAATAGTAACATATATATATAATAAATTGCATAATAAACGAATTAATTTATTTCAATTTTCAATAATTTTTTTTCTTAATTAAATGTATAACACATTTTTAAGATATGCAATAGGATTGTTAGAAATAAGAAATATTATATCTTATAGTTATATTTTAATAAATTTCTGCATAAAGAAATGGTTCAACGATACTAAAATTTTTGAATTTTAGATTCAACAATATGCATAAAAGTTGAGAATTGCTAATCGTTAATTAGCAATACATATATAATTTCTTTGGAGTTTTAATATATTTTAATATATAAATTTTACGAGTCAATATCTTATATATTCTAGCGTTGATTATTAATGTTGAATATTAAAGAAAGACATTGCTAATATACAATGAATTTCATATAATATAATTGTACATAATATATGTATATTAAATTATAATAAATACTAGTGTATAATAAATTATATATTAATTTGTTTTATAATATATATTAGATATATTAGATAAATAAAAATTCTGTCTATTCTTGCAATCTTGTTTTTTAATAATTATAATTAAATAAAAATTATATTGTATTTCAATAATGTATAAAAAATGATAACTTATTTTTATTTTATACAAAAAATTGAAATAAAAAAATATCATGAATGAAATAATAAAATACATATTAATATATACATAAATACATATGCCATTAATAAATGTCCCATAATAATAATTCAAATAACATTATTCTGGCAATAAAATAGGCAAAAAAACAATTATAATAATAAAATTATAATAAAAAATAAAAATAATAAAATTATATATA